AGTGATCGGACGAGAACTGGTGTATTCAACGTGGTATGGACCTTGGCGACACTGTTTAGTTACGTGTTGATGTAGAACGATCTTTGTTTATGGTACATATTGATCTCTTTATCCACAGAACATTATATAAATATTCAATTTGGTTAGATTTTACTTCAATAATAACAATATGATTCATGCAATCACCGATTAATAGTTTTATACTGGTGTTAAATTATTTCTAAAATATGCTCAAGCTACGTTAAGGGGAGAAAACAATGTGGACGCTCGAAAATGAGTCATTTTTGATGAATATTTTTAAAGGTGATAAAATAATCGCTTCATTTTAAAATTTTGATAGTATTTTATTACAGCTTTGTAGTGTAGAAAAACATTTTTTTTTATAAAACAAAATGGCGGCTCTGTAAGGTATTTCTTCAGGCGTCTTTTGCTTGGCATCGAAAAGTGCTGTATTTGTCATATTTTTTATATTAATCTAAAACAAAAAATTTTTTTTTCGATTACTGACACATGCCAGGGAAGTTTAAACCTATAAAACTATAAAAAAAGTATAAAATTAAAAATTAAGTAGATTTTTTAATCAAATGTTCAAATTTTCGACAATTTTTACCCCGCGAAAGTAATTTATTTACGCGATATTTTTAAAACAACAAACAAATTTTTTCGATTACTGACATGTGCAGGAGAAGGATTAACCTATAAAACTATAAAAAAGTATAAAATTAAAAATTAAGTAGGCTTTTTAATCAAATGTTCAAATTTTTTACAATTTTTATCTCAAAACAGTAATTTATTTACGCAATATCTTTGAAACTTTAGGTACATACATCCTTCCGATAGTGTTATAGACAGAAACCTCCCAAAATTTCAACCAGATCGAGCAATAGCTTTTTGAGTTGCAGCACAAGCATTTTTTGAAAATGTAGTTTCGAGATAATCGCGTTTAAAGTTTCAATCCGATAAAACTTTTAGTTTTAGTGACTTACCGATCAATCAGCGATTCCAGGCGTATACAGGGTGTGTCTTAAGCCCAGGACAAGAGACATACCGTTAGATCCGGCGTGAAAAAATAAAAATATTGGCATTAACAAAAATCAAAAATTTTAATTAGTTTCTTAATTATTACGGATTAAAGTAAGCCAGTCATAAGCGCGGGAGAACTGGCAACTCTTCCTCAGTCTCCTCCCATTGGGGACAGCCAATCATTTATTTCCCCACAAAAACAGTGACCGGTGGATACGTAAATATACTAACGCAAATAAACAAAAGAATAGTGTAAAATGTTTTTTGTCGGAAAGTAAATGATTGGCTGTCCCCAATGGGAGGAGACTGAGGAGGAGTTGCCAGTTCTCACGCGCTTATGATTAGCTTACTTTAATCTTTAATAATTAATAAACTAATTAAAATTTTTTATTTTTGTCAACGCTAATATTTTTATTTTTTCACGCTGGATCTAACGGTATGTCTCTTGTCCGGGGCTTAGGAAACACCCTGTATTAGAAACCTTCAGCCTCCTCTGAGAGTTGATTAACTTCCATCTGCTGTTGTTTTCGAGCTGTACGAGCTGCTTTTGTCTCAGAAAGACTCATCCGATTCTGTCTCGCTACTAGCGGCTCATCGGTGTTTTCGGTGAAAACTTTCGAGTAGGTGCCCACAATTTTATTTAACTTTTTCATAACTCTGAGAATGGAGGTGTAGCCTTAATTGAATATCCCAGCAGCAATATATGCTGAGATTACAATAATTTTTAGTCCAGAATGCAGGTGTTTTGGAGATAATCGCCAAACTGTCGCGTTAAAACTTTCATTAGCATTCTGGGTATAGTCACCCAAGTATCTTTCAAGTAAATCATCCATAGAAAAATCTTTCTAAATTGGTAGGAGATGCTGCTTAATCTTGTCGCCAAGTAATGGAGTAAGATCTTCAAACATGAATACATACATATTGTGAAAGAAACGTTGCTCCATCCCAAGTGCTCCGGCTACCTGACTCGCTAGTTTACGGTATGCGGGCCCCGGCGCTGTCGACTATGTGCGATAACTCCGTAAATATTTAATATTTCGATTTCTCCTTTTTCCAGTATACTCTTAATATATTATACTTCCGAAATGAACTTTACCGGCTATCAAAATTCAAGACAAAACCTTCGTGCTTAACAGAAGAACATATAAAACATGGAACTTATTAAAAACACTGTCGCAAGAATAATAGATAGATATTAGGTATCTTATTATTCGAACGGAAACCATAATGTAATCTAAATTTTGATTTGTAAAAGGGGTGACGAATTAAAATTAACTAGTGCATACTATGGTAATACGGTTTGCTCCATTTACGTATTGAAAAAGTTTGTGGCCCTGAAAAGGGCCCTTTTGTTGTGTACGGTGAGTAGCTGAGAACTCGAGAAACAAATTAACCACCAAAACCGTAGAGAGTGCGTCCTTGACGTTTAAGCGCATAGACCACGTCCATAGCAGTAACGGTTTTCCTCTTGGCATGTTCGGTGTATGTAACTGCATCACGGATGACATTTTCCAGAAACACTTTAAGAACACCACGGGTCTCTTCGTAAATCAGGCCAGAAATGCGTTTAACACCGCCTCGACGAGCCAAACGGCGAATAGCAGGCTTCGTGATTCCCTGGATGTTATCACGAAGAACTTTCCTATGACGCTTCGCTCCTCCCTTTGCAGGCTTCGTGATTCCCTGGATGTTGTCACGAAGAACTTTCCTGTGACGCTTCGCTCCTCCCTTTCCCAAACCTTTTCCTCCCTTACCACGGCCAGTCATTTTCACCAACGAAATTCAATCCAAACCCTCTTTAAGAAATATTCCGTAGAACTGATGCAATAGCTAAGATTCAAGGGGTATTTATCCTCTCTCCTATGCGTATCCCCACCACTTACCGACTGGCCAATGAGCGTCGAGCTCAACAATCGGTCGAGTCTATAAGTTAATGACCAAAGTTGACGCTGTCATACTGCATTTGAATTTTATGGTGTAAGATATTTAAGATTCATTAAAATGATTTTCAAAAAATCGATTTTTTTTTTCACAGTGGTGTTGTCCCTTAAACAAATATTGGGTAATACTGACGCAGCATCTAGGATTCGAGGGGTATTTATCCTTGCTGCCGTGCGTATCCCCACCACTTACCGTCTGGCCAATGAGCGTCAAGCTCAACAATCGGGCGAGTCTATAAGAAGTCAGTGACCAAAGTTGATGCTGTCATACTGCGTTTGAAACTTATGGTGTAAGGTTCTATCGACGCTCACAGTGAAAGATATATTAGTTGAACATGGCTCGTACGAAACAGACTGCTCGCAAATCAACTGGAGGAAAAGCTCCTCGGAAGCAATTGGCTACGAAAGCCGCACGTAAAAGTGCACCAGCTACCGGAGGAGTTAAGAAGCCTCATCGCTACAGACCAGGAACCGTCGCTCTGCGTGAGATTCGTCGCTATCAGAAGAGCACGGAGCTGCTCATTCGCAAACTGCCCTTCCAGCGATTGGTTCGCGAGATCGCTCAGGACTTCAAGACGGACCTTCGCTTCCAGAGTTCAGCCGTGATGGCACTTCAAGAAGCTAGCGAGGCTTATCTCGTCGGCCTCTTCGAAGACACCAACTTGTGTGCCATCCACGCCAAGCGTGTCACCATCATGCCAAAGGACATCCAGTTGGCTCGGCGTATTCGTGGAGAACGTGCCTGAATACCGAAGGCTTATAGAATAATAACGGTCCTTTTCAGGACCAACACTCTGTTATTTCGAGGAACATGCACATCCGTTTACACTCTGAAAGACGTTTCTAAAATTAATCAAACATGCCCACTCACATACACTTTACTATACTTTAGTCGACATATATCTTATTTAATATTTTCTTTATGGAGTGAATATTGTTTTTACTCTGTTAACATTTCTCAGACCTGGTTGATTCCATATGAATGAATATTTTAGAGCTAATAACTTGCAAGTTAAATATTTTCCCCAGTATTCATAACTCTAGCAAGAGAACTTGTGTAATAGCGGAAACGTTTATTTTCTTTAATTTAGGAATTTTAAGGTTCATTCACTGACAAGTAATTGTCAAGTTCTTTTTCTACTTTAGTAAAGGTTTTACGTTGAGAAACTAAACATTCTTAGCTTTAAAGCCTATGTTGGTCAATCATATTCTTTTTAAGGTACTTGTCGCGCAACAGTTATGTACAAAAATTTATTCCAAAAAAAAAAACAGAAACATTCAACATCTATGATAATACTGCAATGAAATATCCTTCGAAAAATACATTTAAGGTTACTAAATAACGTGGATAAATTATGAAAGTTTAAATTAATTCTATTTTGCTTTTATTATTCGTTAAAGTAACTTGGAAATGGATATACTTTTGAAAGCGTACAGTTCAGTTTTCTCAAACATTAAAATATCCGTTTCATCTGCACGGACGTGCACAATAATCACGATGGTGAGATGGACGGTTGACGAATTCTTCATTCCATCTATTGATATCTTCGAAATGAAACGTTAAACAATTTTGAAATTATTTATTCGCGTTCTCTTTATATCAATTTATCACATGTTTATCTTTTATCAATATCTCACGATTCGTTTAGATAAAAAAAAATGAAACTTATGTATAATATATCTACTACATAGAGAATCCGCATATAAAAACTGAAAACTTACATTTTTTCCCCATATTTCTGAACGGTGAATCTTAATAAAATTAGATTCGTTTTAAAAGTATTATTTATTTCAAATATCAGACATACAATTTTTGAAAAGATCTGATGAAAATGGTTTTACACGACAACTACTTTCATCTTTCTTTTTTTCATATATCGGTATTCCCAATTCCATATTTGCTTTAAAAAGTACAATATTATAAAGTTGAAAATATATAAAATGATACTCATGAAATAGTATGATGTTACTTCAAAACTGAAATAGCACCGTCTTTCACGAAATGGAGTGTAAGAGGTTATAAGTTTCATACAAGGATGGAAAATTCGTTAGAGATATGCCGTGAATGTTGAAGCTAACGTAATAATTTTTCATGGTCCT